TAAATGCAATATTTTTATTTTAATTGGTATATTTCTTCATTTAAATGCAATATTTTTTTATTTGAATGGTATATTTTTTCATTTAAATGCAATATTTTTTATTCAAATGGTATAATTTGTCATTCAAATGCATTTTTTTTATTTGATATGGTATATTTTTTTCATTTAAATGCAATATTTTTTATTCAAATGGTATAATTTGTCATTCAAATGCAATATTTTTTATTCAATTGGTAAAGTAGTTTTTTTTATTTATATGCAATAATTGTATTATGGGAAATTCTTTGACGTCATAAGGTCAAATTTGCAACAACGTTTGTGATTGGTCTGTAATTGTTTGGATTTCTCCCCTTTCTTTCTAAACATGAGTGACCAAGAATTAAAAAACGCGTCAGAATATCGCCACTCAAACTAAATCTGGCGTTCGTGCGAGTTCTGCACTGGCTGTTAAAATCTTCTGGTCCTAACTATTATTTCTATTTCAAAATTTCGATGGTCAAAACGTTCGGACCACCACTTTTCAAAAAAATTCATTATGTATGGATCTATATGCATGTATAACGTTTTTTTTTTTTAAATAGATTAGACACCGTTGGTTTTCCCGTTTAAATGGTTTTACACTAGTCATTTTTTGGGGGCCCTTTATATCTTGTTGTTCGGTGTGAGCAAAGACTACGTGTTGAAGACCGTACTTTGACCTATAATGGTTTACATGTACAAATTATGACTTGGATTGAGAGTTGTCTCATTAGCACTCATGCCACATCTTCTTATATCTATATACAACGTAAACCAGACGTTTCTCAGACTGTTTTCTTTTTTTAATAAATCCTTTGCCGCGCGTTGTGTACTTATTGATACTTCAGTCTTGGAGAACAAGATTTATTTCAGTACTAGTTGTAATTAGCTTTGAGCAAACTTCCAGTAATTGCAAATACTCTTATGTCGGTGCTTTAAGTCCATTGTCTTAATATTAGGGTTTTTTTTTTTGTGTGTCTCCTACCGATCTTTTGAGTTAATCTAATTGCAACTGATTAGTGCAGGTTGTTCTTTTATTGGACTGTTACACCACCACCGTCAGAGCTTCGGGATGGGTTGAGTGCTCACAAACATGTTGTTGTACTGTTACACTACTGTCCCAGGTTAGGGGGATGATTGGGATCCCGCTAACATGTTTAACCCCGCCACATACAGTATGTATGTGCTTGTCCCAAGTCAGGAGCCTGTAATTCAGTGGTTGCCGTTTGTCGCTGTGGTATACATATTTGAGTTTCGTTCATTTTATTGTACATTAATTCGGCCGTTAGTTTTCTCGTTTGCATTGTTTTACATTTGTGATTTCTGGGCCTTTTGTAGCTGACTATGCGGTGTAGGCTTTGCTTATTGTCGAAGGCCGTACGGTGACTTATAGCTGTTGATTTCTGTGTAATTTGGAGAGTTGTCTCATATGCAATCATACCACATCTTCGTTTTTATATTAACCCTGCCATATTCTTTATTTGCCTGTCCCAGGTCAGGAGCCTGTAGTTTAGTGGTTGTCTTTAGTTCATGTCTCGACTCATATTTGATATTTTATAAATTGTTTTGTTATGTTTAATTAGGCCTTTAGTTTTTCGTTTAAATTGTTCACACTTTTCATGTCGGGCTTTTTAAAGACGACTTTACAGTAATAGGTTTTTGTCATTGTTGAAGGCATTACGATTGTCTATAATTGCTTACATCCACTTCATATTTGAACTCCGGTGGATAGTTACCTTATTAGCAATCATATCCCATCTCTTCGTTTTTATATTATTACCTAACTTCTAAACTCGTGTTTTCCTGAACAAGCATGAAATATTTGTCACTGGGCGTTAAAAATTAGCAACAAACAATCAATCAATTTAAACTTGTGTTAAATAAGAGGAAATCCATTTGATATTTATTTATTTGTTGGGGTGGGGGACAGAAGGATTTCATATATGAATATGGTTGCCTGGTATAAGAGCTGAAAAATAGGCATGATTAGCCACAGATTAAAATGAATAATTATGCCCTCTCTTCCCTTCCCCATCCTTCATCTATAAATTAAACTGACCACCACGGTGTAGCCCAATAGTGTTGAAAGTAGCGTTAAACACCAATCAATCAAAATCCTATCCCTAGAATATCAAATAATAGTCCCTTAACTGTTATTGTCCGTGTAGTTCTTATATTTATCCAGCTTATCGTCCTACAGGGATGTCCTACTAAGGCTGGCATACCATAAAAACGTTTATAACACAGCTCACATTCTAATATATCTGCATTCATAAATTTATTAATGCCATTTAGCCTAAACGACGCCATATTTGTTATGTGCCTCTGCCGTCTAAACAACCTATAAAAAAAAGAAGAGATGGAAGAGAGCAAAAAGATCTTCCCAATGCAAAAAAAACAGAAATGGACTTCTTCTGGCTCACTACCGAAGAACAAACAAACGCGCCCTATTAATATGTTCTAAAAACGCCTTGCCCCTACCCTTTTTTCCAAAAAATTGGCATTGTTAAATATATATACATATATATAATCATCATTAAAATGCTATTATATTTTTAAAGGACCTACTTTATTACATGATCTGGGACTAATGACATCTAACTATAAGTCCAAGCATACAGTAAATTATTATAATATGAATATGTTTCTTGTTTTAATAACCACATATGATGCTATGCATGAGTCACCATTTATCAGTACAGGAATTGGGTTTACATAGAGAGAATAATGTGCAAAAAATAGATAAGGGGCGGGACCAAACCTATAGATAACATATAAAAAAATGATGAAATATGAAGAATACGTTGATTGTTTTTTGGTTGCCTTATATCCAGTGGCAAATATTTCACGCATGTTTAGGACAAATATAATAGAGATCAAAGGATAGAGAAAAGAGTGAAATGGTAAAAACTAAAAGATATAGAATTATAGAAACTATCTTTGATCTCAACACCCCTCCCCCTCCCCTCACACACACACCATAACCATTACTGCCAATACTCGCATGTATACATCTCTATACAAATATCTAAACTGACCCCCCCCCCCCCCCCCCCCTAGACACAGAGGTTCTGGATCCGCCCCTGTTAAATGTATCTTATTATATACATTTTGTACGGGTCTAGATAATAGCTAAACGTTCAATTCTATAATTATATTATATACTGTGTCACAAAAATAAACTTGTATAACCCCCCCCCCCCCTTTTCCAAATGCAGTATTGAAAAGTAAATCAAATAAAAGTCCTGAAGAAAACATATGTTTTGAAATATGCCCTGCATACTTATTTATGCAAAGACATATAGTAATTATTGAACTACTGTGGGGCTTGAAAAAAAATCTATTTAAGGAATTCGGAGATGGGAACAGTAAAAAAAGCTCAGCAACGAATCCTAAACGTAAAATGATTTGCGGCATATGACATGAGAGCACATATTATAGATAGTCCAAAATATGAAGTTCACGCCTTATACAGTGTACGTCCTATGTCATAGGACTATTGTTGTAACATGGGTTAGTAACTGGTTCCAATTTATCCCAAATTGTCTTTATTAAAGAATTAGTTCCGGAGTATCACAGCTCAGGTCTCTTCTTGTGGGTCTCTGGTTCTGCTGTCGTAATTATGAGATTTTCTTTCTACATGTAGCAAAAAAAGACGGGGCTTAGTCAAATAAATATAACGTCCTGGAAGGCTTTTTATTCTTTTTCATGTTTGCCTTCCTGCAACGTCTCTGAGGATCAAGAAAAGTAACTGAAAATGATATAGCATCAGAGAACGTCATGATTTAATGTATCTGGACTTAGAGGGGAAAGGGGGGATGGGGGGGGGGGCTAGCTGTTTTTTTTTTATTTCAATGTGTAGACTGAGGGAAGTTTCTTCAGAAAGGGTTTTCATTTGAGGCGTTTTTGCCATGCACGCAGGCATCTCTTTCTATCCATGAACAGGTTGTGTGTCAAATTAATAATTATTATTGGCATTAACAGCCAGTGCACGAACTCGCATGAACGCCAAATTTAGTTAGATGGGGCGATATTCCGACGCGTTTATTTAATTCTTGGTCACTCATGTTTAGAAAGAAAGGGGAGAAATCCAAACAATTACCGACCAATCACAAACGTTGTTGCAAGTTTGACCTTGTGACGTCAAAAAATTTCCCATAATGCAATTATTGCATATAAATTAAAAAAGCTACTATACCATTTGAATAAAAAATATTGCATTTGAATGACAAACTATACCATTTGAATAAAAGTATTGCATTTAAATAAAAAATATACCATTCAAATAAAAAAATATTGCATTTAAATGAAGAAATATACCAATTAAATTAAAAATATTGCATATGAATGAAAAATATTTAATTTTTGCAACCAATACCATGCCATATTGGCGTAGTTAATTTTTGTATGAATCAAAGTGGTTTTTCATTTAAAAAAATGCATATCATTCTTTTTTTGACGGATAGAAATGATTGTGAAGGTAAAATGTCTACCATATAGTTAAGAAAGATAATAAAGAATCTGAAGAAGGCCAGTGGCCGAAACGTATAACATCTTAATGATTGTGAAAGTAAAATGTCTACCATGTAGTTAAGAAGGATAATAAAGAAACTGTAGAATGCCAGTGGCCGAACCGTCTTTAAAAAATGTGTTATTTACTTCAATAATTTAATATGTCTTCCCTATTGGAATTTTGAAACAAGGATAGAAATCTGTAAACATACGTTAAGCGTGACTAGTATCGTACATCGTTCTGAATGTACTTGAAACATTTGTCACTGAACATTAAGCAAACAAATTTATAAATATGTTTGCATATGTATGCAAATCCTCCTTTTAAGAAATAGCTGATATTATCGATTTTTATTAAATATTTTGATAATATGTATAATATTCCCCCTTTACTAAAAGAATTCCAAATGATAATATGCTTAGTCTATGTTACGATCGAGATTTTGTAAAGTACATTAATTTTGTTTTACAGAGTGTGAAGTAGGATATTATCAGATTACAACGGGAAAGAAGTGTGAACCATGCCTTCAAACCTGTACGGAAAAAAATGTGCTTCTGTTTGCAAGTGTAAAGAAAATGAAAGGTAATTATCAAACTTAAGGTGGCTCACCCCAATAAGGACCCCCGGTAGAATTTTTTTATGCTGAATCCAAAAATGCAAAGAAAAAAGGGGGTCACCAGGCTCGTTTTCCCCTCAAATGGAAGCGAATGTGCGATTTTGACCCTATTTCCAAACTTTTACACCCTTTCAACAATAACGACTACATCAAATTCAAAGACTTTTAGAACCATGTCAGTATGATTATTATGTGAAAAAACAATTAAATTTGAAATTCAAACGTTCCCATTGGTTGTTTTAGACTTAAAAATCCCTTTATTTTCAGATTTATGTCTAAATTTGGCATTTTTTAATTTCAGTTTAAGGCTAAAAATATTGGTTAAATCGATTTTTCGTAAAATTTCCCCGGTAGATTTTTTTTAAAAAACGGATATGTCAAAGCTATGAACTTTTCGAGCATTTTAAGGTAAAATAAAATGGAGGTCACCAGGCTTTTAAAAAAGTTACGAGCTTTTGTTTAACCCCTCTACCCCATGAGGTCTGATTTCAATGCACTCCATTAATTACTTGATTGTGATTTTTTTTATTAATGTCTTTAAATAAATAATGTTTGTAATTATATCAATGGACGAAAGCTGAATATAAATGTGATGAACATTTTACTGTTTGTTATAAAAAAGCGAAATTTTGATTATTTTGGTGAAATACGGTAATTTTGTCTGGCGCGAGTTGCTTCCCTCTAATCTGGCGCCATAATCGGACAACAGAAATTTCAGGGTCGCCATTGCTGAGCAGCATACTGCACTGATAAATACGACCATGTGCATGAATAACAGACATAGTGGCGAATAGACAACGATGAAGGTAGAGTCATTACATAAGAAAACATAGATTTATATATATTAGACAGCCAAATGTTATCAGTATCGCGAAAAATACAAAGTGGGGGGTTATCTCAAAATACTCGATACTGTAGAAAATCACTGCGGCTGAAACCTTGCATGAGCTAAATTTCTGTTCTATGTATAATCGTTATGGCTGGTATCTTATTTATGTGTTTACTTGACCCTTAACCTGTTAACTGGCAAGTTGTGAACATGTATAGCCTGTTTTGAAAAAATATCCGTGTCAAACAGTCAAAGAGGAGGGATGGTCATTTTCAGCATCTCATGATCAGCGCTATCGTTAGCGTCAAATAAGTCTTGATTTTATATCGTCATTCGTAAAATCTAATTTCGTAGCCACGTTAGGGAGCTACCATTTGATTTTTATGGGGGGGGGGGGGGGGGGGGGGGGGGGGGAGGGGGGGCTAGGATGAAAAATGTTGTCCTGCTTTTTTTTTAGTTGTAATCTCTGTCCTGCCTTTTTATTTTTTTACTCTATTCGGTCCTGCCTATTTTTTTACTAGTTTATCCTGAATTTTTTTACAGAAATTGTCATACTGCCTTTTTTTTTTTACCCGTGTTGCTCATCCTGCCTTTTTTTTTTACTCCAAACTCCTGTCCTGCCTATTTTTTCAAATTTCATCCTATCCCCCCCCCCCCCCCTTAAAAATCAAATGGTAGCTCCCTTAGGGTCAAATGAAGTTAAATATTTATTGTTAGCGTCTATAATGACAAGTAAAACAGGTTGGGAACAAACCCTCTACATGGTGTTTATACCTGTATAGAGGAATAATCCTTCTATAGAGGGATAAAAGAGGGGTATTTTTGTTTAGACTGGATTTAAAGCAAAATAGGGCAGAATGGCATTTTCTAGTTATATTTGCTATAATCTATAGCACTATACATGTATATGCATCAATTATTGCACTTTACTGTATTCTGTATTTCTTTACCAAAAAATGGCCTGGGATGCCCAGTTTTCTGCTAAAGTGACAGAACTTGCAATCTATTGTATACCTATCTGAACACCTGATCAACAACAAAAGGGACATGCAGTTGACCTTTAAATTTTATGTTAAATCTAACAATAGAAATTCTGTTCAGTGAGACATAACTGAGTGGAATTTACCTGATCATCACAGCTTTCAATTATGGTGTACAATAGATTGTATATTCAGTCAGTTTAGCAGTAAACTGGGCATGTGAAATGAAATTAAGTACATCAATTGGTGCATCAAATGTAGCAGGTTACTGCCATAATAAGTAGAAAATGCCATTCTGCCCTATTTTGCTTTAAATCCAGTCTAAACAAAAATTCCCCTCTATAGAAGGATTATTCCTCTATACAGATTTAAACACCAGTGGCGGATCCAGGGGGGGTTCAGGGGGTTGGAACCCCCCCTTTTTTTTTGATGTTCAATGCATTTGAATGGGGACATATAGTTGGAACTCCCCCTTTATCCTGGGTTAGGACCCCCCCCTTTTATAAATGGCTGGATCCACCCCTGAAAACCATATAGAGGGTTTGGTCCCAACCTGTAAAACGGGGTACCCCATAACTTCCCTCGGACAGGGGTTCAGGGGTTCATGATTACCACTCCCTATCCCCAACTCCCATTTCTCTTCCCTTTTACTCTAAAATTTTCTCCCCTAACTTCTACTTCCATCCCCTTGCTCCCAGACAAAAAAATTGCAAAATATATTTCCCAGATTATTCATCCCCCTCTTTTCGAATTCTTGTCCTTTCACCCAAAATCATGTTCGCTCCAATTCACGTTCATCCCACTTACATTCCCACCCTGAGTCTGTTTGTACCCTTCCTTTTATCTAAATCATGCTTTTGTTAGTATAGTTCTATAAGGCCAAAATAAATTAATAGTGTGTTTCCTATTTCATCTTCAAAAAAATTAGGTAGGGTAGGTAGGTAAAACATTTTATTTTATGAAAACATTTTATTTTTTTTTTATTGATGGGTCGACAGCAGAAAAAAGTTCCAAATCAAATAGTTTGATGTGCGGGCTTCTCTGATATTTAGAAAAGTAATTAAATCTACAGCTTTTTTAATTTTCTGTTTTAATTCTGCGTCAGAAATATGAAAATAAACTTTAATGAAAATTTTATGCATTTCATTGGTCGTAAAAAGAAAAGTGTATGTTCTTCACGATTAATTATCTTAAACCAAAAATGGCAGTGAAAAATCTGGCATGGTATGTTATTATGTTGATCCTCGTTGAACCTAAAAATGTAAATGTCACACAGGGTATACATATGGAAGCAAATTCGTACCCCTTGAAAAAACTGTGAACCGATGCTAAGCAGCAGATAATTATGATTTTTTTAGGGTTAATACTCTGCCCTTGCACCCTCTTTATTTAATATACAGATGTGTTTTGATGTTTGACAAAATGTGATGGTGATTGAAGATTGGGTGGTTCTGACAATATTAAAATTCCAGGTTTTGAGAAGAGTGAGAATGTGAAATCTTTGTCTTATTAATGATGGTAGTAATGCCTGTTACCGTCAGGCGTCAAATGGTCATTTTTGGCTACCGTTAGCGTCAAATTGGTTAAAATTTTACCTTAATTCATCAAAATATCCTTATCCTGATTCTTCAGAGCAAGGATTTGTATACTATAGGTCTCAGATAATTATCGTTACCGTTTTTTTGGAAAAAAATTTACGTGATTCGTCAAAATCAGTCGATTTTTTTACCGTCTAAAAGAAAGTGTACATTTTATCGTCATGCACCAAAAATTACCGTTAACGTCGTTTGGCAAGATTTTTTAGCGTTATTCTGTCTACATATGATTGTTCTGCCTAACAGAAGTTCCACTGGAAACTTTGTTATAACCAATGTCATAATATCTGTTCCTGTTGGAACAAATATTCTATACCATTCATTCCGTTAGGAACATATACTGTAATATTTATTCCAGTGGAAATAATATTCCAGAACACTTTTTCCATTTGGAACTTCTATTTCGTGACAATTCGTCGTGAAGGTACCTCATTAATCTACTGGTCAAATAAATTGCAGATATAAATATGACAGGATTTTTTCCCTTTTCTTGTATAAATTGTTATGGGACCAGCCAGAGAAATAAAAAAGAATAAAAGGAGACATGGTGCCGGGGCAGATTCATTTATAAATGAATATGAATCATACACCATGTCTGCCTACTGGGGAAAGCTTCGAAAGTTTCATCTTTCTCGTTCCACATTGTCTGTTCCCTTGTCTTCATAAACTAAAAAGCATTAACAGCCGTTTATGTTGCGTCCTGGGCACAATTCTGTACAACATTCGTAAGAGCATGTTTTACAACAAAAGCTGGATTGATTTTAGCAGTTTTTACTATAAAATTGTTAAGTCAATTTACCGACAGTTACAGTCTGTCCAACCTGAAACGATTCTGACTGTTGCCGCTGGTCCAAAGAAGCACAGGTACAAGACGAGATTTAGTTAATATATGTATATATACTGAATACACTTCATTATATATACAAATATTTAAAAAATCTCGCTTGTAAAGGCTGTTCAAAGAAGTTGAACAAAGTGCGTCAACTTCGTATTTTTTCGTCTATAGGTCCGCTTGATGTTCTTCAAAAAGATTCATCATATCGTAATTATCCGGATTCGATGTCATTATATTTTGCGTGCATGTGATCACATTTCGCATATTTGACAGCTAATACGCTACACGGTTGCCGAAAAGCCATGCTTGTTTATTTAAAATCTTGGTCCTTGAAACGCTTTACTTATCAATATTGGTCGTTATAATATCAAACGCTTTGAAGATCTATAGTATTCTAAACGAATAATCGTATCCGGACAGACTGACAAATCCGGATTTTGAATTTTTATTTTATTTTATTTTTGTCAATAAAATGTTTAGGGTCGGCGTCGGAAACGGAGGTAGGGTCGGGAAACCGGAAACACACCATTTATTTATTTTGGCCTAACAATAAAATAAAGATATATTAAGTTTATTTTTATTGTTTAAATATAAAGTCACTCACACGAGATCTAAGGTTTTTTTTCTATTTATAATCTTCATAAGATTTACTTTTACCAAATTGGTTACTTTTATTTTCACTCAGACCAGGCTAATTAACGGTAACGGACCTGCACATGATTGTCAA